TGGGGGCTCACCGGGAGGGTCCCGCACCGTCCCCACCGTGCCAACCGGCGCCAGGGCCAGGCCAGCCCCCGTGCTTGCCCCATGACAGCGCGGTGCATTGCCCCTGGAAAATGCCAGAGCGGTCAAACTGTTGAGTCATTTGTGCCCAAGATTATCTGTGCAAACAGCCGCCCCGATTATTTTTTTTTTTTATTATAAATTTTTTTTTTTTTCTTTTTCCCTAAGAATGTGGCTCAGACCATGGGGATGAGCAGCTGAAATCTCCGGGGATCAGCAGGACAATGCCAGAGCAAGCATTGTGCTGACGGCTCTGCAAACGCTGGCACCGGCTCCCGGCCAGCAGCACCCTATAAAAGCCGAGCCGCTGAAGTAGGCAAACATTACATGGGCGAAGCAGCAGTAACCGCCTGAGCTAGGTGAGTCCTGGAACCGATTTGCACTTCTCCCACCTCATCCTCTGCTCGTTCCTGCTGCCGCTGGCCGGACAGGCAGACGCCCTTCCTCCTGCCTGGTGGCAAAAGACACCCAGAGGGACCATCGCCATTTCCCGTGGCACAAGACAGGCTCACATGTTGCTGCTGGTAGCCAGGGTGGCTGAGAGCTCCTCTACCACGGGGGACCCAACTCCTGGCATCCACCTGGCCCCGGTCCCCGGCACGGTACACCGGTTGGCATCTCCTGCCGTTAGCCGGGGCCGTCCATGGGAGCCCACTGTGGCTCCCAAGGGAGGCACAGCTGGGGTGCCAGGGCAGGGAGAGGGGAGCAGGTGGGTCTGTTGGACACCACCAGGCATGGGGCATCCTGTGCTCTCTGCCGCAGCTCCCCATTCAGGCTCAGGGGTGTTTTTCCTAGCGATGGCCTGGCCTCGGGGAAGGAGAAAGGGGACCTGGGCATTGTGCCCCAGCGGGCACACAGGCTCTGTGCCATGGCCGGGAGGAGAGAAGGGGCACTGCGGTGGTGAGAAGGGAGCATCCTGCTTTGGATGTATCCCAGAGCCCCTTGATGTGCCCCCAACCCCATCCTGTGGCTAGCTAGAGGGTCTCGCTGCAGCTGGCATGGCTTGTCCCCAGCAGCAGGGCAGCTGCCTTTGAACAGGCACTGTGGGCAGCGGGCACAGAGCTGTCCCCCGGCCCCACAGCAGACGGCAGGGATGCAGAGGGGCATGCTGCAGTACAAACGGCTTTTCCTTCCTTCTGCAGACACCGTTCCAGCAACAAAGATGGCTCAGACAAACCCTCTGCCTGTCCCCATGGGCCCATGGAAGGTACGTCCTCGCAGCCCCTGTATCTCGCCTTTCCCTACGTGCAGGTGGGGGACAGGGAGAGGGGCAAAGCCAGTCCTCCGGGGCCAGGAAAGCTGCGCAGCGGGCAGTGAGGCAGTGGGGAGCGCAGGAAGCAAGGCACCCCTGTCCTCTGCCCATGGGAACTTTTCTCCCGCCTGCTCAAACACCTCCCGGGTGTTTTTCATAAGCCTCTTTGCAGCACTCTGGCCCAGCCATGCCCTGCTCTTACCAGTCGTCCTGTGCCAGGCAGTTACAGCAATCGCCGAAAGCCACACGCTGGTATTCACCCTTCCCCATCCGTGCAGGCAGGCAGGGGCAGGCACAGGGGATGCAAAGGGGGTGGTGGGCACGGCAGAGCAAGATGGGGAGCAGCCCCGAGGGGTCTGGCAACAGCTCCAGGGACACAGTTCGAGAAGGGAGCCGAGAGGGAGAGGAGAAGCACGTGCGCAAGCGGGGCGCAACCCGCCGAAGCCTGGAGCTGTCACAGGAGAGGAGAGCCAGTCACAGCCCCCCGGGGGAGTTCCATCTCGCCCTTTCCCCCGTTAATCCTCTTTGCCCTAGAGCGGTCGGAGCAGAGGCCGGGAGAACCGCCAGCCACAGCCCTGCCACCCGCCCATCCCAGAACGGCTCCGCTCCTCTCTCCGGACGGCACCGCTGCCCCGGGAACTGACCTCCGCAGGGGTGAGCAGGAGAGCGGAGCGGGGGCCAGCATGTGGCTCCCCCGACACCAAGGCAGGGCACCGCGGGGCCAGCAGTGCAGGGACACGCAGAGGTGTGCGGGGCTCCGTCCCAGCCCAGAGGGGTGCCCGTGCAATCTCCACCCGCTCTTCCCCTGACGGGGCATGATCCTCCATCTCCAAGAGGGGCTGAATCGCCTGGGGCCACTGCCGGGCAGTTGCCAACTCGTCAGCTCGCTCTCCGTTCCAGATCACCGTGTACGACCAAGAAAACTTCCAGGGCAAGAGGATGGAATTCACTTCAGCCTGTCCAAACATCATGGAATGCGGCTTTGACAACATCCGCTCCCTGAAGGTGGAGTGCGGCGCGTAAGTACCCGGGGCAATGGGGATGCTTTCCCCGTCGGACTGGAGGGCGCGGGGTGCCTGAGCGTGGAGCGGGGCCGGCTGTCCTTGCCCCGCTCCGCTGGGGGAAGCCAGGCACGGGGGATCCCACTCTGCTAGGGTGGAGCAGCCAGCCCTGGGCAGAGCTGCCACAGACAGAGGCCCAGAGGACGGCGGCAACGCCTTTGGCAGCATCCAAAACTGCCTCCCGCAGTCTGGGAGCAGGCAGGTTTGGAGCTCGCCGGTGCTCTGTGGGGATGCAGCAAAGATCAGTGCTCGGCGAGCGGCTCTTGAGCTCAGCCTGGTCCCCATCCTGCCTGTGTAACCCCATGAAGCACCGTGCCTAGAGAAGCATCTTTCTTGCCCCAGCCAGCCCTGCTCTGTCCTGAGCTTTCCCCCGCCGTGCAGCTCCCCGGGGCCAGAGCAGCGCCTTTGCACAGCCTGTGCTGGGCTGCCCCTCGCTGATAGGGGTGGGGAGCAGAGCCAGGCTTCTCCCTGTGTATGGGAATCTTCCCTGGCACAAGCAAGACATCTCCAGAGCGGCTCCGAGACACTGTGTGAGGAGCAGTCCCCACGGCAAGCGTCCCGCTGGGGCCGGGGAAGCAGACAAGATAGATTTGTGCTGCTATATTTAGGATTTGTAACGCTAATGGGATTACAGCGGCATGCGTGCTCACGCCGTAATCAGCTCGCTGCTCCAGTTGACGTGTTCCTAATCAGGCTGGTCACCTTGCACGGGGGGAGGCCGACTGCGGGACACAGGACCGGGACTCAGTTTTGGTCAGTCGACACCCCCCCCCGTCTCAGCGTGCCCCTCAGCACCCCCCACACCCCATAATCAGGGGATCTGTGGCATCTGCCTTCCATCCTCCAGCCCAGCCTCTGCCTCCCGGCTCGGCTGTGGCTGTCCTGTCCCCAGTCCCTGTTAGGGGACATGCTCTCGAGAGGTCCCCACCCTGGGGACAGCCAGGTTCTCCTGTGCGCGGCATCAGGGCTTGCGAAATGTGTCCTGCAGGGTGGAGGCATCCCTCTCACCTCTCCTTGTTTGTTTTCAGCAAAGAGGGGGACCCAGAAAGGGGAAAGATAACAAGTTCCAGCCCTGCCCAGAGCCAGATGGGTTCTGTCTGGTTTGGGCATCAGGAATTCAGGTCTTTCCAGCTGTGCCAGGTTGTAATGGGGAAACAAGTAAGAAATGAGGCCTTTGGGAGAGAAGGGCAGCCACGGGTGTCCTGTGGCATCCTAACACGACACTGATCTGCATGAATAACCACAGAGCAGTTAGGGGAAAGCGAGATGCCCTCACAGGCTGGGCCCCTCGAGGGAGAGACCCTATCATCCGCCGCAGCCGGGGGATGCTGGCGCTGCCATGTGGGGCTGCCTCCTAGGCACCAGGCGTGCTTAAACATCCAGCCCCGCTTCCTTTCCTCCCGGCCTTGTGGGCAGAGGCCAGACCCCAACCTCCTCCTCACACCTACATCTGAGCCCCGGTGCCAGCCCCGAGCAGGAGGCCCCGAGCTGCCGCAGGAAGCCCTGGCATCCCTCGCTCTGTTTTTGCAGCTGGGTCGGTTATGAGCACACTGGCTTCTGCGGGCAGCAGTTCATCCTGGAGAGGGGAGAGTACCCACGCTGGGACGCCTGGAGCGGCAGCAATGCCTACCACATCGAGCGCCTGATGTCCTTCCGCCCCGTCTGCTCTGCCGTGAGTGCCCCAGCTCCCACGGAGCTCTTGCGTCTCTGATCCTCTTAAAATGTCCCAGGCAATAGCAGCAGGCCAAGGGAGTGAGGTTAGGAAGGGCAAACACAGCTATGCCAGGGGCTCTGCGGGTGGCAGAGGCTCCTCTGGGTTGGCTCAGCTCTTCCCCTCCATGCCCTGCAGGATTTGCTCTTTCTGTCCTGCTTTCTCAAACTTTTAACAGAGATTGTGGGCCAGCTGTACATGACCAGACCCGGGGGACAGCCAGCCTGAGACAGTAGCTGTGACATAACTGTCACTGACACCTCCCAGACCAACGCCTGCCCACTCTGCTGAGCACCTCCACACAGCTGGGCTTTGGGAACACCAGCCTCCCCCCCCCCCCAAAAAAAAAAAACCCTAGCCCAGGGTCTGAACACCTCCCTCTCCAGAAAAGCCTCTGAGCAATGCCGTGGGGAGGGACAGCCCAGCCCCACCTCCCCCTCACCCCCTGCTCTTCCCCCCTCCTCCCTAGAATCATAAGGAATCCAAGATCACCGTCTTTGAGAAAGATAACTTCATCGGCCGCCAGTGGGAGATCGGGGATGACTACCCCTCGCTGCAGGCCATGGGCTGGGCCAACAACGAAGTGGGCTCCATGAAGATCCAGTGTGGCGCGTAAGTGACAGGCAAAGGGCCAGGGGCAGCGGGGACAAACCGCTGCCATCACTGTGCTACCACGGCTGGAGGGGGGACACCCCCTACCCCCCCCTTGCTTACCTCTTGTCCTCCTTACGGGCCACCTGACGACTCCTCTTCTTCCAGCTGGGTTTGCTACCAGTATCCTGGGTACCGTGGCTACCAGTACGTCCTGGAGGCTGACCACCATGGAGGAGACTACAAGCACTGGAGAGAGTGGGGTTCGCACGCCCAGACCTCCCAGATCCAATCCATCAGGCGTGTCCAGCAGTAGCTCCCCACTTCCCAGTACATCTCTGCAAGGTTTCTAAAGCTGACCGGCTCCCTTTGGTGCTAATACTCCCCTCCCGAAATAACCACCCCTTCTTGTACTGCAACTGCTTATGGAACAACACTCCCAAATGGTACCAACTGCACAAATGCCAATAAATGTGACTGAAAGATAAAACCAGCTTGGTGGGTCTTTACTGTTGTGTGTTTGGTCTTAAAGTCGCACATCCCTGTCCCAGGTAGCAGGGACCAGACTCTTCCCTGATTATTTTAAGACAGACTGAAGCCTGGTGGGGTTCACACCGAGGCAGGTTCATCCCCCAACTGTTTCACACACACAAACACGGCAGGCAAACCCTCGGTCAATGCAGCTCAGCAGCCGTGGGGCTCCCTGCCCTCCCCTTCCCCTGTCACGGGAAAGGACATAGTGCCCCGGCCCCCCTGAGCCACGCAGCCACCTGCACCGCCGGGCCCGAGGGGCCCAAAGTTGAGTAGTCAGCGTCCGTGGGGCCAAGGGATGCTCCCCAAGAGCGCAAAAAAGAAAGTCACACTGACACCCACAAACTTTAAAATTTTTATTCAACAATTTACATCACTTATTGTCTGTCTTAACATATTCGATCTACACAAATTTTTTTTTCCTGATAAAATAATAAAATTTGGATAAATTTTGAAGACCTGTTGGTGCAGAATAAACAAAATTTCAGGTAACTTTTTTTTTTTTTTTTTTAAACATTTAGTGTGAAGTATGACATCATTGGTAAAGATACATCATGCCATTACAGCTCATGGACATTACCTATCCTTACAGTCCGTGACATCACCCATACCAGCGCAAGGGGCTGCGCCAGACACAGCTACAGCAGGTATTACACTAACTCTTCTAGCCACCCTCTCACGACCGGGAAAACGCCTACATTTCCAGCTGGGCACACAGAGTGCATTAACCTAATCAGAAATACCAGGGAGGGGAGAAGAAAAGAAAACAAAGACTACCTTTACCGATCCGTGTGGTCGCACACTACAACATCGACAACAAAGAGGGGCTGCCCCTCTCCGCAGGTCAGAGGTAATTCAGCTCCTGAGCAGGTAGAGCACAACCCCTCGCAGCGATTTTAATACACACCAGGAAACCGAACGAAATGAGAACTTATCGACGGGGTGGAGGGGCAGGAGAGGCGATGGCTCCCACCCGGAGGGGCCTCTCCCGCCCCAGCTCGCAGTCAAAGCGCGCGGTTGTGTTTTGCACCGCCCTTAACACTGAAATATTCAGGGGAGGGGGGAGAGAGGGGCATTCGTCCCCCCAGTAAACAAGTAGAGGACCTCCAGAGGCTCGCGAGCCGCTGAAGGTGTGTAAGTACACGTGTGATGGTAGATAGAAAAGCAGCCCTGTTCTGTATGAAAAAAAGCTGTCAAGTTAGTACAAATTTCTGCCATGGTGAAGGGAACATGAGGAGAAAGCTCAGGGTCCTTCTCCCGTCACAAAATCCTGACTCTCCTGCACAAAGGCTCTGGGCTAAGCAACAAGTTTCCGAAGGTGGTACCTGCAACCCAACGCACCCAACTCCCGAAAACAGAACCAAAATAAAGCTCTCACCTCGGAGGGTGGCGGGAGCCCACCCTTCGCCCCGGTGGGCCGTGGATTACGGCCCCGCAGCGGGGCCAACGAGGACGCCTGTCCATCCCGCCCCACAGTGGGAATACACGACGGTAGGGTTTCTCATCGGTTAATTTTGTCATTAGAAGCCTCAGGTTTGCTCACGCCACCAGCCTGCAACGCAGCAGGCTGTGCTCCATCCCCTCCTCAAAGCTGCTTCGCCGGGGGCCCAGACACACGCGCCCCGACCCCATGGGCACCCACAGGCCCGGCTGGACGCCGGTGGGTACCATCAGAGGAAAAAAAACGGCACTCGTTCATCCAGCAGTACGAAGTGTATCTGAAACACAAGCCAGCACACCCCGCTCCCTCCAATTCAATTACTAAAGTAGGCTCTTTAAAATAAAAAAATAATATATATATTTATATAGCTATACAGAGAGATACAGAGAAAGCAAAGGAGAGAGATAGGCTACTAAAAAAATCAAGAAGCGCCAGTTTTCTGCTACAGCTGTCAGCAAAGAACTGTCACCTTACTTCATACCCTCCAAGATGGTGAAGATAATGCAGGCAATGACAGCACAGGAATGCAAAAGAGGGCAGATAAGTCACTTCTGGTAATGAGACACAAATTAAACTTTCAAAACATGTGCATAGCTTTATTCATCTGCTTCAAACTAACCTCTTCACGGAGCTTCAGCGAAACCCGAGTGTGCAAAATGCATTTCTAAAAAATAATGCAAGCAAGCTTTCACATTTACAGTGGCAGAAGTACAGAAAGACTCGGACAGAAATCACACATTGGGGCAAGTGAGTTGGGAGAGAGATGAAGAAACAAGAATTGCACAGCTTCGTATTCTGAGTCACTGACTGCAAACAAGCATTTCTATTTTGTTAACTTTAAGCAAGGCGTGTTTACTTCTCCTTTACAAAAAAACTGAAAAAACCCCACAGTAACAAGAACCACAACCTGGAAGGGAATAAATCCCCTGGGCAATGGGATCCCTGGTGCCACAGAGAGCCCTAACTCCAGAGCAAAGCCGGTTCCAGACCCTCACTTGTTTTGGCTTTGCTGGCACATGCTTAATTTTGTCCGCAGAACAGCAAAGCAGCTTCTCTTTTTCTCCCCGCCAAAGTCACAGAAAACGGCTCGTGTTAGGAAAGGAAAGGTGCCACCCCACAGGATGCTGTCCCCAGACTGTAAGACAGCCACTACGCAGGCTCGAGTCCAAGTCTCACATCGATGGGACAGTACCGAACCCTCGACTGTAGATGGGGCCCGGCCATCGTGCTGCCCGCCGGGAGCCCGGCCGTCCCACGCCACAGCCCGGCAGCTCACACAGCACTACAAACTCTCTTCAGAAAGACTAAGCACACACGCAAGGCACATTTAGTCAGATGTACACACACACACGGATGTGTGTAGAAGAGCAAACGCTGGCCAACAAAAAAAAAAAAAAAAAAAAAAAAAAATAAAAAAAAAAAAAAAAAAAAAAAATTGATGCTGAATAAACTAATCAAACAGGCTGAAAGTTCTGGCCTAGGGTATTTATATACTATTTTCCAGGCAGTTGTAATCCCCAAGCGTTTTGCCTACATTACTTCAGACCTTCCTTACTCTTCCCTCACTTTAGAGGTACTTTATTTTCCTAAAGGATCTATAAATAGTCAAGTAAATTCCCTTTTTTCCCCTCCAGTAAACTCCTCCTTCACAGCACGCATCCCCCCATGGTGGCCCAGGTGTGACCCATGAACAGGTTCTAGACTGGCCCGTGCCCCGAGGCAGCACCTCACTGCTCCCTAAGCTGTGGACTTTCACGCCTCAGCCATCAGGTTTGGGCTGGGTAGATGGCCTGGCCTCGCTTTTTCCTTGGAAAAAAGCTTCTGACTCTGGGCACTGGCTGCTGCTCAGCACCCGAGGGCAGCTGGAGAAGGAGCCCGTGACTCCACAACACCAGGGGTGCGGGCAGGAAGGAGGCCATGCAATCTGTAATACTGCTGGTTAACTTCACATTGAGATAAAGCATGAAAAAGGTCTTTCTGCAGAGATGAGAGATTTCCTTCCATAAATAGATTCAAATAGAAAACAAAAATATTAAAACCGGAGACAAGACAATAGTTGATTTGAGATTTTTCTACCTTTACAAATTACCCAGGCATCTTTCCCGCACCACCAGCCATCGAGGAAGGAGAAGCTGAAAACCTCAGGGATTTGCACTACCCTTCCAATAGCAGCTTGAGAAAAAGAAGGAGAGGGAAAAAAAAAAAAAATGCACAGTGTTCTCTCAAGTTAAGAGTTCTCCTTTGCTTGCGTTTGCATAGAAATTCCCGTAGGTCAGCACCAAAATCAGGTACACCAGTCTCCTACACCCCAGCTCCCCCAGTTCCTATGCTACCCGCAGAGTTAGTGGCTGTGTTACAGGAGGGTTCAGCTATCCGCAGAGGAACTATATGGTCATGTAATTAAAAAAAAAAAAAAAAAAAAAAACACATTCTTGATTTTCAGGGTTACTTATAGCAGCAGCAGCATTAATCCAAGACAATGAACAGTTGTAGATTCGTCCTTAAATGCAGCAACACTTAATGAAATGTCTTCAAGGAAGGTCATAAGAGGGTCCTTCTCAAAAGGATAAAATGAAAATTAGACTATTCAATATAGACAAAAAGGAGATAAAACAAAAATTAAAGACACAATCTTATTTACATTAAAAAAACCATTCTTGTTAAAATATCTTTACAACACCTAAGCAAAAAAATACGTATTTTAAGAATAAAGCAGAAACTCCTAAAGCAGTATCCATTTTTGGAACCCTTATTTAGCACCTGAGGAAAGACTGTATGGAAAGCAGACAGGTATTTTTTTTTGTGTGTTTTTTTGTTTTTTAAGAAAACTGTAAGTTGTGTTTTTGCTAAACGTTCATATGTTTGCAGTACACAAGTTTCATACCACAGAAAGAAATGAACTTTTTTGTTTTTTTTGTTTTCTTCTTTTTAAAGATACTCTACTGATTAATAAGGCTGTAGAAAAGGGATACTGCTATCTTACAAAATGGCTTTAGAGCTCTGGACACGTTATATGAAGCTTTCTGATTAACAGTCAAGATAAATACAGCTCAGCATTCCCTAGTGAAAGCACAGGCATGACTTTTGCTCCTGTCCCAGGACAGAGAGCAGCCCGACAGCCCCAGCAGCGTGTCCCCAAGTGTCTCAAGCCACCAACACAAGGCCACCGTGGAGCTCCCCTGTACCTCCCCAGACATCCACGGCTTCGGCGTTGAGCCGCTGAGCAATGCCACTTTTGAGGATCTCGAGCAGGATACACGGAAGCCAGCCTTACCCTGTGGTGTAACACGTATTGTGCAAATGTCTAAAGCTCTATAATCTCTGGAAGGCAGCGCGTCCGGCAACGCAGACCGAGATCTTCTGCTCCTTCACACCAGCCACGGTTCCTGCTTCTGAAAAGCTTGTGCCAGGGCTTTTTTTGCATGGAAAAAACGCCCTCGTGGTGGCCAGAGCTAGAATTCCTCTGGCCACTCTACCACGCTAGTGCTCCTCCAGCCCCAGCCCTCCTCCTGCCTTGCGCAC